TGTATAAGAGTAGACTGTAAAACAACAGTACATTTTCAAATGATACTTACAGCAAAAACAAGGCACTTTTGGAAAGTACAATACAGAAAAGTATATTAATGTAAAAAAGAGAAGAAATAGAAAAGAGTAGATTGCAAGTACATGATATACGTAAATGATAAGGTAGGTTAAATGATACATCTGTCAACAGTACTGTATATGCCAGTCAACTTTCACTGGGAATGTTGTTAATCATGCAATAAATGTCTATAAGTCCTCCATGACTCCCATTTTTTATCAAATAAGTTCATCTTATCCAGTAGGGTATAATGAATACGTTCCATGAGCATTACAGCATCAATTCTGTGTAAAACGGAGGCCAAGGGTACAGCATTGGACCTCCAATGTAAGGCAATAGACCATAAAAAGGCAATACATATAGTATGTATCAATCTCATAATAGCATCAGAGACCCCCGGGATATGAGCCCCCAATAGACAGGTCTGTATAGACAGTCGTATCGGGGTACCCGCCAGTGAGGTAGCCACCTCAGATATCTTGCACCAAATCAAAGATATGGTCGGGCAATCCCAAAATATATGAACCAAAGTACTTGTGAGGCCACAGCCCCGGAAACATAAAGGGAATGTTTGTGGGAACAATACATGTAGTCTTGATGGGGTATAATACCATCTGGTTAGAACCTTAAGTGCCGTCTCACGAACAGAAAGAGATCTAGAACACTTACATATGTTATCCACCATGGAATCCCAATCCTCATCTGAAAAAGTGATACCACTATCCTCCTCCTCCCATTTTTGTCTGTATAAAGGGGGTGTATGAGAAAGACAGATGAAATATTGGTGATAAAGATCAGAAATAAGCCCCCTACCCCTAGGAGAGTCACGGCTGATACGTTCAAAAAAGTAAATCGGAGAAGATGGTATAAGGCCAAAGTGTGAATTAAAAAAGTGTCTAATCTGTAGGTAACGATGGTACTCACGAAGAGGAACATCAAGAAGTACGCGCAGCATATCAAAGGTAATATAAGATCCTCCTCTTTGAAAATCAGAACCTGATAAAAGATCGATCATACCACCAACGGAACGTTTGAGGGGAAGAAAAAGCTGCAACAAAAGTAGGATCACCAAAAAATTAAACACCTGGGGAAATAAGAGAGACCAGATTCAATTTAAATTTGTATTTGGACCAAAGTGTCAGTGAATGGGTCACTATTATGGAGTTATGAAAAGTAAGCAATCGAGGGGAGATTTTGGACCACAAAATACCCGGTAAATAGAATGGGCGTATAGACTAAGATTCAAACTTGATCCATGGGATCTGAGAGTTAATAGTTGTCCATTGTGATAGTTGCGCAAAATGAGCCGAGAGGTAATATAGCCAAAAATTGGGAAGACCGAGACCCCCCCGTCCGTTGTGAACAGTACAAAATAGATGAAGTAAAACGTGGACGCTTATTACCCCAGATAAAATTGTTAATAGTCGGCTGAAAGTGGTCCAAAAACGTTTTCGAGACTGGAACTGGAAGTGCTCTAAAAAGATAAAGTAGTTTAGGCAAAATATTCATTTTAACCGCCGTGACTCTACCCAGAAAGGAAATAGGGTAATCATGCCAAATCTTCAATAGAGTAGAGACCAACGATATCTGAGAGAAAAGATGCTCCCCACAAGGGATCAAGAAAAAATGCCCATAGTGAAGTATAGTTAAAAAGTATTTATTAAAAGGTATTTAATAAGGCAGGCAGGATGCATCCAGTATACTGGCAAAAAGTAGCATACAAAAAAAACAGACAGGACTAACCGTCCTGTCAGATGTAGTGGCCGCCGGAGCTCCACGATGCTCCGACGGCGTGACGTCAAGGCGTGCGTAGGTTCTTTCTCTGGTTCTTTTTCTGAAGATGTGCTTGGCACGTAACGCGTAAGGAGGAGCCTAAATACCTTTTAATAAATACTTTTTAACTATACTTCACTATGGGCATTTGTTCTTGATCCCTTGTGGGGAGCATCTTTTCTTTCAGATATCGTTGGTGTACAGTGGAGGAGCAGTGCTTTCTTTGGTGGAGCCGTGATTACTTTCTGCCATCTAGTGGATTTCTTCTGCCTAGCTTGATATCATCGTATGGACCTTCATTGATCAAGGGAATACATCTACCCTCTCCATGCTGATGACTACTTTATGAACTCCATCCTTACTACACTGCACTATTTATGTGCACTTCTGGTTAGTGTGCATTGTTACCCTAGGTCACCATAATTGGGACTTTTTATGATCGCTTTTTATTGTGTCACATTTAATTTTTAGCGCTGCACTTTTATTTTATTTTCATGTGAGGATTTTTTTTGGTTATCCTGTGTGCTTCAGCTGCTTTTCTATTGAAAGCGCTCACTTTTTTGCTCACTGTCAAAGGCCTTGTTCATGTCTAGACTCATCAACAGAACCTCTTTAGAATGTAAATTGGCATCTTGAATAACATTTAGAGTGAGGCGAATGTTATCAGTAATGAATCTGTCAGGAATAAAGCCCGATTGGTCCGGAGAGACCAAAGAGGAGATAATAGGGGCCAACCTGTCTGCCAAAATACGGCAAAATATTTTCAGATCGTTATTCATTACTGAGATTGGTCTATAGTTTTGTGGTAAACAGTGGTCTTTCTGTGGTTTGGGAATTAAAGACATATTAACCAATAGCATCTCCTCAGGGAACTTACCCCCCTGCAAAACATCATTAAATAAAGTTATCAAATAGGGAGCCAACGTAGAGGCAAAATGTTTATAATAACTAGCAGTGAATCCGTCAGGACCCCGTGCAGTAGAACTTTTTAGCGGGCTAATCGCAAAAGTTATGTTCTCCAAAGTACAGGGGGCATTAAGAGAGGCAATCTGAGAAGGTGTAAGAGCAGGGAGGGGTATAGAATCCAGCCATGAGTCGGATGGAGGAACAGAATCTGACTGCGGAGGAGCTAATAGGTTAAAATAAAAGTTTTCAAAAATACCCACAACTTCCGGAGGTAGAGATGAGATAGCGCCCAAGTTAGTGCGTAACTTATAAACATGTGGGGGGCGCAGAGAGTGGTTCAATTTCCTTGCAAACATAGTGGATGCTGAGTTGCTATGTAACAAGAATGAGGCCTTCGACCAGCGGAGAGCTTTTTCAGTCTTTTGGGAAAGCAGAGTATTCAATTCTAAACGCTTTTGGGACAATAACTGTTTATTAAGAAGAGATGGATTAGCAATATGACTTCTATAATGTGCTTCTAATTCTCGGGTAAGAAGTAGAATTTGCTGCCATTGTTTTCTATTTTTTGGATGAAGCCATAGAGATAAAGCGGCCACGTAGGACCGCCTTATGGGCTACCCATAGTGTGGCTGAATATATATCAGGAGTCGAGTTAGACTGAAAATATTTCTGAATAGATGTAACCACCTCTTGGCGAGAGTCAATATCAGTAAGCATAGAGTCATTAAGTCTCCAAGAGAAGGGGGTAGGTGCCAATTTCATAAACGTAAGTCTCCAAGAGAAGGGGGTAGGTGCCAATCCCATAAACGTGATAGATAAGGCCATAATATTGTGATCCGACCAGGGGCTTAAGTGGATGCAAGCTGTCCTAGAATTAGCTAGTAAAATAGGGGTACAATAGATATAGTCTAATCTAGCATAAGAGTCATGTGGGTGAGAATAAAATGAGTAATCCCTGGATCCCGCATTGTGCGCCCTCCAGGTGTCCACCAACTGGAGGGCATCTAGTTTCTTAGTAAGGGATTTTGGGAAAGCCTGGGAAGAGTGCGAGGAGGAGCTTTGGTCCAAAAGAGGGTTTGCTACCAGGTTAAAATCACCACCCACCAATAGATGGGGGGGACAAAAACCTATCCAAAACATCAAAAAGTTTAGAAAAAAAGGAAGCTTGTGCCGAATTTGGTGCATAGATATTTGCAATCGTAAGTTCTTGACCTGAAAGGGTGCCTTTAAGAATGATAAACCTAATGTCCAGATCACGATACACATATTGAACCTCAAAGGGGAATGAATTATGTAGAAAGATGGCTACTCCTCTACTTTTGGAGGAATGTAAGGTATAATACCCCTGCCTATAGGATGATTTATGAAAATATGTCGGGTGTTTTGCGGCTACAAAATGTGTTTCTTGTAATAAAATAATTTTAGCCCCTAGTCGTTTATATTGAAGAAAGGTTGTTTTGCGCTTATTTGGTGAATTGAAACCCTGGACATTTTGCGAAATACATTGAATTACCATAGTATACAAAAGTTGTAGCTATCAGCATAAAAATACACATTGAAAAGACATCTCCTAGAATTATTTGGCTAGACATAAGGACCCACAAGTCCACATTAGACAGATTTACAGGCAGTAGTGCCAGTCTAGGGGACATCCAGACCCCAATATGGGGGTCGTGACGTCCACAAACCGGCACAAAACCAACATCATGCACTAAAGCTTTGAAAAGAGAAAAGACAAAAAACAATAAAAGTGAAGCTTTAATAGCTCCTACAATTAAGAGGGTAACTGAAAAACATGGATCAGGTAGGCAATTTGCCATACCTGAAAAAACAAAAAATTCAAACATCAAAGGGCCAAATATGCCCAAACCCTGTCTCCGTAAAACATGGAAAACGGAGCTGCCACCCCACAATCGGGCGGTGACACCTCCAGCCATGTCAGGCAGCAGGGTGGGGTAACGTGTTCAAGAGTTTTGAAACCATGAATTAATGGGCGGTATTAAGAGGGTCCGAAGACCCTTGTTAAGCCTTAACACATCCAGCTATCAATGAGAAAACAGACATAGTTCTCAGAAACACAAAAATATCACAGCAGTGACCACAAAAATGCACATCCTGAAGATGTAAGAGATACAAATGAGCAAAATCCCTGTATTCCGATTCTTGTCTCAGTCATAATAAACTGTGGATCAGGACTAAGGACTATCAAAACAAAGGGTAATAGGCAAGTGAGCATGGTCCTGTCAACCCGTTCATGTCGGACTCTCCTTCTATCCCTCCGTGGAGATGGATTATGCCAAATGGGAGAGACACGAGGGGTGGAGGGTGGACGTTGAGGTGATGGGGCGTCCGCCAGGCCCAATTTGGCCAAGATTTCTCTACCTTCGGGAAGGGATGTGGCTATAAATGTGCTCCCATTATGTGGAACTTTCAGCTTAAAAGGAAAGCCCCATTTATAGCGGATATGAGCTGAGAAAAGGGCAGTTGTAACTTCTTTCATTTTTCTATGTTTCTCCAACGTGGCCGGAGAAACATCTGGAAAGATTTGTAAAACCGAGCCTTCGAAGGAGATCGTTGGGGTTTTGCGAGCAGCTCTAAGTACAGTCAGGTCCATAAATATTGGGACATCAACACAATTCTAACATTTTTGGCTCTAGAGTGAATACAGAGGGTTCACCACAAGATGGAAACCATTGGTGAGCCTCAAAAACAGGAAGGCCAGGTTAGAGTTTGCTAAAAAAAAAAGCCTTCACAGTTCTGGAACAACATCCTATGGACAGATGAGACCAAGATCAACTTGTACAAGAGTGATGGGAAGAGAAGAGTATGGAGAAGGAAAGGAACTGCTCATGATCCTAAGCATACCCACCTCATCAGTGAAGCATGGTGGTGGTAGTGTCATGGCGTGGGCATGTATTGGCTGCCAATGGAACTGGTTCTCTTGTATTTATTGATGATGTGACTGCTGACAAAAGCAGCAGGATGAATTCTGAAGTGTTTCGGGCAATATTATCTGCTCATATTCAGCTAAATGCTTCAAAACTCATTGGACGCCGCTTCACAGTGCAGATGGACAATGACCCAAAGCATACTGCAAAAGCAACCAAAGAGTTTTTTAAGGGAAAGAAGTGGAATGTTATGCAATGGCTAAGTCAATCACCTGACCTGAATCCGATTGAGCATGCATTTCACTTGCTGAAGACAAAACTGAAGGGAAAATGCCCCAAGAACAAGCAGGAACTGAAGACAGTTGCAGTAGAGGCCTGGCAGAGCATCACCAGGGATGAAACCCAGCGTCTGGTGATGTCTATGCATTCTAGACTTCAGGCTGTAATTGACTGCAAAGGATTTGCAAACAAGTATTAAAAAGTGAAAGTCTGATTTATGATTATTATTCTGCCCCATTACTTTTGGTCCCTTAACAAGTGGGAGGTACATATGCAAACTGTTGTAATTCCTACAACGTTCACCTGATTTGGATGTAAATACCCTCAAATTAAAGCTGACAGTCTGCAGTTAAAGCACATCTTGTTTGTTTCATTTCAAATCCATTGTGGTGGTGTATAGAGCCAAAAATGTTTTAATTGTGTCGATGTCCCAATATTTATGGACCTGACTGTATATCTTCTTTGGTCAGGAAATCCTTCATACACAGGACAATATCCCTGGGCGGTTTATCATTAGGAGGTTTAGGGCGCAGGGTTCTATGGATGCGATCACAAGCAAAGGATCCAGGGTCGCGATCCGGAAGGAGTGACTTGAATAACTTGGTTATGGTTTGTGAAAGATCAAACACAGACTCCGGAATTCCCCTGACTCGCAGATTATTCCTGCGATTGCGATTATCAAGGTCCTCAACCTGCGCCTGCAATTGTGAAAAGGCCGTTTGTAGATGATCGTGTTCTCTGGAAAGTTCACCATAGGCCAGGCTAAGTTCATCATGTTCGGTTTCTAAGCGGTCGGTCCTGGAGCCCAATGTGGCTATTTCCTGAGAGAGAACATTAGTGCTTTTATGCAGTTCTGATTGGAACTTAGCGGCCAGCTTGGTGTACATAGTTTCCAGGCAAGATACCAGGTACTCCTTTGTGAGTTGCTGTGTATATTCACTGACCAGAGCTAATGAAGGAGCTGTGATATCCTGCGTGAGATCGGACAGGGATGCTCGTTCTGTATTATCTGGAGACATGCTGCAAATCTCGTGTGTCTTAAGTAGGTATGTCATGAAGGACTTTTGAGCTTGTCCCCTTTTTTTTCTTGGTGGACGGCATACAGGGAGACTCCTGGGGGTGATCAACTGTAAATTGGATAACCTAAGGAGATAATAACCCCAGGGGACCTATGACGCCCGAAACAGGTTTAGGGTTGTAGTTACATAGATGCTATCAGGCTTATCCGCCAAAAAATTTATATTGTAATAATATTTAGCGAACCATGAGGGCATAGAGAGGACATAGGCCATGGTAAATACCATTAATATCTCCCAGAAGCAAGATGATGGCTCCAACTCCCACCTTAGGGTCTGAGAGGGCCGAGGGGCACGTGTGGAACAGAGGTCCCCCTATGATGATCTCAGGGCCCTCCAGGGCAGATCCAGGGAGCCCCGGCACTCCACCGGAGCAGTATATAGGCCTCAGTAGGCCTCTGGGCCCAACAGGAGCCGTGGCCACAGAGGAAGGTGGTTTCTGGGGCAGTAAATGGGAGCCCCATTCCCTGAATCACTGGAGGGGGACCCGATGACCAGTAGCCGCCAGCCTCCTTGCCTCATATACTCACTGTGGCCCGGAAGAGAGGAGGTTCGTATCAGGTGGAGTAGGCCGCAGATGTCCGTTGCCACGGGGAGTGGCAATATACAGCGGCGCCCCTCTCCCAGACTCAGGGGATGCAGAGGGTGCCTCCGATGTAGATGGATGTTGGCCACACCTTCCCCCGCCGACCGTACTCACGGGGGAGATGGATGGAGCGCGGATCCGGGCCAGGCTATACCGTGGCAGGCCTCACTAGGCCGATCTCGTCCGCCATGGCCGACAGGGGACAGACCCGCTGCGATCCACTCCTCCAGCCGCGGGTAGGATCTGAGAGCCTCCGATGCTCACCACGGCTCACCGCCGCCCGGATGGCAGTGGATGACAATGAGGTAGGCTGCGGACGAACCATCAGGCCAGGAACAGCGGCCACCTCGGAGAGTGTCCAAATTGACTTTGCACACCTCCTCCAGGTACGGGCAGGATCGAAGGGAACTCCTATGTCTGTTAAAATCTCGCCGCCGCCCAGATGGCAATGGATTTAAGATTGAGGCGCCGGAGCTTCAGATTATGCGGCCGCTCCGGGCGCCATCTTGGACATGCCCCCCCAAACTCACCTCCTCTTTTAATCTAACATAATGGACACAAACCACCACCCACTCTAACGTCAACATCCTCGACCTTGTATTCTCTTACCTATGCACTCCCAGTAACCCCTCTAACACCCCTTTTCCTCTCTCTGATCACAACTTTATCAGCTTCACACTCTCCCAGTCTCCTACCTACCAAACAGTTACCCGCAGAAACCTCCATCACCTCAGCCCTGATCTTCTTCACTCTGCTACTGAGTGCCTTTATGATAAAATTGCACCCTGTCCTGCCCAGACCTGGCCACATCTGCCTACAACAACTATCATCCTCCCTGGACGCACTTGCTCTTCTCTCTACATGCAGAACCAGGCCTCACCTGTGACAACCCTGGGAAACAGAGGACACCAGAAGTCTCAAGAGATGCAGCCGTATTCTTGAGTGAGCATGGCGTAAAATCCAATCCCTACAAGACTTCACCCTCTACAAATCTGTCCTTCTCAAATACAACTCTGGTCTCTATGTTGCTAAACAAACCTACTACAACACTCTCATGAAGACCCTCTCCTCCAATCCTCATCAACTCTTTTCTACCCTTAATTACCTACTCCACCCCCCACTGCCTCAGCCCACCAATTTACTTACTGCACAGGAGATTGCCAGTCATTTCAAGAACAAGATTCATACAATTCGTAATGAGAGCTCCAGTATCAAGCTTACTCCTCCAACCAACATACCAGGCCCAACACCACTCTCAACACTCATCTCCTTCAACCCTGATACCATTGAGGAAGTTATTTGAATTCCTTTCCAAGGCTCTGTTCACCACCTGTCCCCTGGATCCTGTCCCCTCACGATTATTGCAGCCTCCTTCCTGTTCTATGCTAAACTCTCTAACCCTCATCTTCAACCTCTCACTCTCCACAGGCACCTTTCCCTTCCCACTCAAACTAGCAATGGTTACCCCCATACTTACAAAAACCCTCTCTGGACCCCACCTGTTTGAATAACTTAAGACCCATCTCCCTCCTCCCATTTTCCTCCAAACTTCTCAAGCTCCTTGTTCACAACCGTGTGAACCACTACCTCACCGATAACAACCTTCTCGATCCTCTACAGTCTGGCTTCTGCCCACAACATTCCACTGAAACTGCCCTACTAAAACTCACTAATGACCTACTAACTGCTAAAAGCAATGGCCATTACTCCATACTCCTACTCCTAAACCTTTCTGCTGCCTTTAACACAGTCGACCACCCGCTCCTCTCAGTAAACTCCACTCCATTGGCCTCCATGACTCTTCTCTCTCCTGGTTCTCCTCTTACTTTTCTCAGTGCACTTTCAGCATCACATACAACAACAACTCCTCCTCCACTCCTCTTCCTCTTTCCATTGGGGTACCCCAAGGCTCTGTCCGTGGGCCCCTCCTTTTCTCTCTCTACACTTCCTCCCTGGCCAATTGAAAACCTCCCATGGCTTCCAAAACCACCTCTATGCTGATGACACACAGATCTATCTCTCACTCCCCAGCTCACCGCCTCAATCTCCTCACATATCAGAAATTTACTAAGCGACATATCAGTTTGGATGTCACACCACTACCTTAAACTCAATCTTTCCAAAACTAAGTTTGTAATATTTCCTCCTCCCCGATCTCCCACTCATGACTTTACCATTAAGATTGACAGCACAACCACTGGTCCTTCCCCTCATGCTAGGGTGCTAGGTGTAGTCATAGACTCTTACCTCTCCTTTGGATCCCACATCCAATCACTGGCTAATTCCTGCTGCCTCAGCCTCCGCAACATTTCCAAAATCCGCTCCTTTCTGACCAATGACACCACAACACAACTTATCCATGCCTTGGTTATATCCCGCCTTGATTACTGCAACTCCCTCCTCACTGGTCTATTGTTACAAAGGTTATCCCCCTTCAGTCTATTAAGAATGCTGCTGATAGACTTATATACCTTACCAACTGATCAGTGACTGCTGCCTCTCTCTGCCAATTCCTTCATGGGCTTCCAGTAACCCAACATAAAAAATTCAAAATACTAACCATAACATACACAGCCATCCACAACACTGCCCCTAGCTACATCACCAACGTCATCCGCAGATATCATCAAAAATCGCCTGCTCCACTCCTCCCAAGACATCTTGCTCTTTAGCTCCCTTGTCACCTCCTCCTACGCTCGCCTCCAGGATTTCTCCAGAGTCTATCCCATCTTTTGAAATTCCCTACAGTAATACGTCCGGTGAGCCCCCACACTCTGTTTGTCCTTAGGCAAACTTTGAAAACTCACTTATTCAGGGAAGCCTACCCCAGCTCCACCTAAGAATTGTACTTGAGCCACCTCCATCAGATCATCCCCCCACAGTTATCACCTTTTGTACCATCTCCCTCTTCCTTTAGATTGTAAGCTCCACGAGCAGGGCCCTCTTATTCCTTCTGTACTGAAATGTACTGTAATTGTACTGTCTCTCTTTATATTGTAAAGCTCTGTGCAAAGCATTGGTGCTATATAAATCCTGTATAATAATAATAATAATATATTTAAACTTTGGACTTATATGTATGAACCTTAGTGTGCTTGAGCACTTTCTATTGGAGTTTGGATGAATTTGTGTAAAGTGCCTTATATTTACTGTTGTTCTTTGTGTACAAGAATTTAGCTTTGGCCAAAGATGTTTCTGTGCCTTGGTGGTGAGACAGACGTTAAGCTTGAGATGTGTGAATTCTATTTTTATTCCAAAGGTAATATTTGGGTTGTTTATGTTCTTTAAGGAGGGTGGTTAGTCCCTGCTCTTTCCCAAACAGAGGCTTTATGTGCCGCCCATTTGTTTTGCAGGGAAGTCTGTGTTGGATCAATAATAGCTAAAACATTATTTCAGATGCAACTCAATATCAAAGCAAACAGAGGGGTTACTGAGTAATGACTCATTTAGTCACCAGGAGTATAATGAGTTGGCCTTTCAAATAGCAGTAATGGTAGCACTAACGGGCAAATTATCACACCAAGGCAAATCTTGAGATGGGATGAAGATGTGGTCTGTCCTAGAGTAGGTAGAATGTACATTAGAATAGCGGATAAAGTCACATTATTATTATTATTATTATTATACGGTATTTATAAAGTGCCAACAGTTCACTCAGCGCTGTACATTACAAAGGGGGGCAGAACATGCGACAGTACAGTAACAATACAATGCGATACATGAGGGGTTCGAGGGCCCTGCTCTTTCGAGCTTACAATCTAGGAGGGAGGGGATAGTGGTACAGGAGGAGATAGCTGTGGGGGATGGAGTGGTAGGAAGAGTGGAGGAAGTCAGCAAATTAGCAGGGGGTGGGGTAGGCTTCCCTGAAGAGGTGGGTTTTCAGGGTACGCCTAAAGGAGAGGAGAGTAGGTGATAGTCTGATGGGTTGGGGCAGGGAGTCCCAGAGGATGGGTGACACCCTGGAGAAATCCTGGAGGCGGGCATGGGAGGAGGAAACCAGGGAACTAGAGAGAAGGAGGTCTTGTGAGAAGCGGAGTGTGCGTGTTGGGTGGTACTTGGATATTAGGTCGGTGATGTAATTTGGGGCAGTACGGTGGACAGCTTTGTACGTCAGTGTTAGGATTTTGAATTTGATCCGTTGCGCAATCAGAACCAGTAGAGGGATTGGCAGAGGGGGGTGGTGGAAACGGAGCGGTTGGTAAGGTGAATGAGTCTGGCTGCCATATTCAGGATCGACTGAAGTGGGGATAGCCTGTGGCGAGGCAGGCGAGTGAGGAGGGAGTTGCAGTAATCGAGTCGTGATATGATGAGGAAGTGGATGAGCTGTTTAGTGGTTTCTGGGGTTAGGAACATGCGGATTTTGGCGATGTTGTGGAGGTGGAGTCTGCATGAGTTTGTTAATGATTGGACTTGGGGCTGGAAGGATAGGTTGGAGTCCA